AGTCTCTCAAAGTTGCAGTAACTCCTCTGACTTCACACCTAGAAAGTAGCAGGAGCCAAATGTGTACTTGGAAACACTTCTTTTGTTTTTTCATCCTACGTACAAAATTTAGAGGCAACAAAATATTGAAAACCAAAAATATTGCCTAAAAAGTAAATATTGAGCAGTTTTATATAAAAGACAGAGGGAAATTCAAGTGGGTTTTTTGTGTGTTTTTTTTAATTTCACAATTCAACATAGAGTTCAGTAGCATCCCTGTCTTTAGAAGTAAAATTAAGCACAGAAGGTAAACACAGATAAATTTCTTGGAAGTTACATAGAATCAGAATTTTACTTAATATCATGGCTAAAAATGGAATGGGCTATTTGGATATGTGTCAAGTTTCTCATCCTCGAACATATTTGTGGAAGGAATAGGAGGATTAGATAATCAAATGTCAGGAATGACCCAGAGAATTTCCATTTCTTCCACCACATATGCTCACCACTTTTGCAATAAAATAGCCTAGATCCAAGTTAGTAGATTAGATGGAACATTGTTCCACCTATATATCCACCTCCACCCAAGAATTATAGAGAAACCATCATTGTAAAAAGTTTCTATGTGAACAAAATGTCACATTGTAAATGATGCAAAAAGCTCTGAATCTCACTTCCATTCCCAGCGAGACGGCAAAATATGCAACAGCAGCAGCAACCTCGAGCAAATCTCGCCTCTGGGAGTAAGGCAATGCAAAATCTGCAACAGAACATTCCATATGAGACAAGTGTACCTAGCCAATAGATTCAGAGAAGGAAAAATGACTTTATAAACATCCAACACCATGTCATTTTCACAATATGAAGCTAAACAATAAACGGAGCTAAAAAAATTAAGGATCAAGAATTTGGTTATTACCTGAACTTGGTGCTAGCACTGGCTTTCTTTTTTACTGAAAAAGAAATCTCTGTATTTTCCAGAGAAATGAAGATTTTGTCTCAAAAATATCTGTGTAAATAAGATCAGTCTTTTTTTGAAGGCTTTGTGATGGGCAGAAAAGCAACAAATTTGCTTCAATGGGGAGAGATTTGTAGAAAAATTTAAACATACATGTAGTATATAATATATATTTATGGCCATGATTTCTATAATATGGTATGAAATAAGATCCAAGAACATTATAGAACTGTCAGTGAAGATACCAGCTAATATGCTGCTGCAGATAAAATTATTGGGCCTCGGGGCGCCTGGGTGGCTCAGTGGGTTAGGCCTCTGCCTTCAGCTCAGGTCATGATTTCAGGGTCCTGGGATCAAGCCCTGCATCGGGTTCTGCTCAGCGGGGAGCCTGCTTCCCCCTCTCTCTCTCTCTCTCTGCCTGCCTCTCTGCCTACTTGTGATCTCTCTCTCTTGTCAAATAAATAAATAAAAATCTTAAAAAAAATTGGGCCTCATCAAAAAGAATATTTTAAATGTGACAGCGGAAGGTGTTCCATCTTTTAAAAAAATATGATGTGCTTAGGGCTAGAATACTAAATATAGTTCTAGTTACTGTCCCCAGGAAAACATTAATGGTCTAGAAGTGGATCAATATGTGTTTATTTATATACATGTACACCGCATAGAATAGTTATTATCATACAGAAAGGCAAATAAAATTCTACTGTGTAAAAGAAGGTGCAAAACTCTACAAGGCTATAAAAATGAACACTTAGGGGAGAGATTACTGGTATCCACAGCATAATGAAGTATATGTGACGAGGAACTCCTGTTACTCACTATGTTCTAAGCACTGAACACACATTAATTCATTTAATCTCTCCACAAAATCTCTTGCGGTCGGTACTATTAATGTCCAAATGAAGCACAGAGAAATCCAATGATTTGTCCCATCTCACCCAGCCAATAGGTAGTAGAGCCAAGACTAAAATACAGGCATCCCGGTTTCAAGGAATATACTCTTAACCACTGCACGTGAATGAAGCACAGACCTAATTTTGGCACTTAAAGGGAGATAAATTTGAGGTAAATAAAAACAAATATAAAATGAACTAAAAACCTTGGAATCTAAAAACAAAACTGAATTTTAAGAGACCACAAACACATTTAAAATATAAAAATAGAATCGGGAGATCTTTATAGAGTTCCACAGACAAGCATAAAGCAGGGGACATTTGGGTAAGCTGCCGGAGGAAAAACCCTAGCCTTGAGTCCTACTTCTAGAAAGTCAGTCCTAGCCTCCCACAGAGCTGCACTTAACAACACAATGCGCATGCGTGCACACGCACACACACGCGCACACACACACACGTAGACATACACACAGATGATACAGGCTACAGAGCAGAATGAACCTCTGGTCTCACCCAGATGGAATCCATTCTTCCTGCAATATGGAAACATCACCTCTATGCGTCTACCTGTGCAGATGTTTTCCTTTGTGTCTACCTCACAGATACTGAGGCATGAGCATCAGCCACAGGGCAGAGAACAGATCTTCCCCAAATTGCTTGGTGTATCAATCAGCTCAGGACCACACACAAGGCTTTATTGATAAATAGATTTTAATTATCATGATGTGCTGCCATTTTCTTCAATTTGCAACTTCATACACCCATAGGGTCTACTTTGGGGAATAGGAATGTGGTTTTGATCTATTTTCTGTTTACTACGGCTAAGAATTTGGCTGAATACATGACTTTATAACATTGTTTTGAATAGAGAATCTCAGTAAAATATTCTTTTTTTTTTTTTTTAAAGATTTTATTTATTTGTCAGAGAGAGAGGGAGAGAGCACAGGCAGACAGAATGGCAGGCAGAGGCAGAGGGAGAAGCAGGCTCCCTGCAGAGCAAGGAGCCCGATGCGGGACTCGATCCCAGGACGCTGGGATCATGACCTGAGCCGAAGGCAGCTGCTTAACCAACTGAGCCACCCAGGCGTCCCTCAGTAAAATATTCTTTAGGGAAATGCCAAATCTGAGACTAGGAACTATTCATTTTCACTGAAGCTTCTACTGAGGAATTTGTTCCGGTTGGGGAAGTAATCATCCTGGGATATTTTTTCACGCATACAACCTGTCCTTTTGATTCATCAAGCCTTTCCTCAGCTGCTGTGTTTTTTGCAGCTAACCTCATGCTGCTGCTGCTCACGTTACCAGAGCATCTGGTATGGAACAAAACCATCATCCTTTCCAGATATTAGTTAACTGGAAATGGAATGTCACACACCACCTCCCTCCCACCTCCCATAGTCTTTCCCTTCCTGAGAATACAACCCTACACAGGGCAGCACAGGGGCTATTCAATGGAGAATTGGGTCAATCAAGTCTCACTTTTATTGTATCTCTTAAATATAATGTTCCATCCCAGTTATCAAGGAACTTCTACCCAAGAGACAGGGTTTGTCCTTTGCTGTGAAAATTGTGTCCTTTCAAATCATACTGCTAGTTTTTCTACTCTCCCATCAACATTGGTCTAGACTGGTCTTGGGAGATTGTGACTCTCAAAGATTTTCACAAAATCTGGGTCACCTGGAATCCTTGGCTAAAACTATAGGAGGTGGAGATAGGAAACACAGTTTTGACATAGGCTCACCAGTAGTAAAACCTAGACCAAGAAGACATTGAATAGTTAGACACCAGTATCTCAAAACGGTACTAATGTACAGGGGCACCTGGGTGGCTCAGTGGGTTAAGGCTCTGCCTTCAGCTCAGATCATGATCCCAGGGTCCTGGGATTGAGCCCTGCATCTGGCTCTCTGCTCAGTGGGGAGTCTGCTTCCCTTCCTCTCTCTCTGCCTGCCTCTCGGCCTACTTGTGATCTCTGTCTGTCAAATAAATAAATAAAATCTTTAAAAAAAAAAAAAAAAGGTACTAATGTACATACTAGTTACTTTCTTTAAGCCATCATTTGAAGCTACAAATTTACTTTCAGATAAATTCATTCTATGAAACAAACATGTCTGTCATTTGATGCCTCTGACAATGACAGGACACTGCTTGCCGAGCCACAGCTACTCCCCAGTGAGTCCCTTCTTTACCTACTGTTACCCAGTTTCCTTATGGAAAGTACATTTGTTGTCTCCATCTCAAGCTGCCCGTACTCATTATACATAGCAGTGACCCCATTCTTCCTTAATCTTCTAGATGTCTTCTCCACGAGATGGAGGGGCAGGGATCAGGTCTATTCTCTTTCTGCCACTGTTTCAAACACAGGGCATTGGTCTACCACTGTGCTTTGCACATAATAGTTTTGCTTCTTGTATTTTATTTTCTTAATTTCATCTAAAGAAAACCCACATCCTCCCAGACTTGACCACAGCATGCCTCGCAGTCTGCATTTCAGTCTTGCAGAATGGTCTGCCAGAAATATAAGAGTAGATGTTGGGTACATACACATTAAAAACTAGGAAGAAATGCTACATGTTGACAACTGAGTGTTTTAATATATTCAAGAGCAGATGAGAGGCTATCACTATTTAAAATGCCGTGAGTTTCGATTATAATTTGAAAATGGGTTCTCACCTTTAGCCACTTAACCTCAAACCATTTTTAATACAATGAGACAAAAGCTTTGAGAAAAACAAAGATCATGCTCTTGGTAACAACCAAAATAGGCATAAAAGAATTTTATAGCATCCTTATGCTTCTGAAACCTAGTGCCTAATGAAGTTATTTTCAATGATCTTTCAAACTAAGTGAGCTGTTCTAATGCAAACTCTGAATTTCACTTTTATTATATTTATAAACTCAATGCTTAGTAGAGTTTCTTCACAAACTTCTCCAAAGCAGACATAAAACAAGTATAATCATGCTGCCCTTATTCATACTGGCACTCAAATAGTTAACATAGAATAATAAAAAGCTTTGCTGTCAGTATTTTGGTAAATAACATTTTAACTATTAACTTCATACCTCCTGCAGAAGGTCCCCTTCATCATTCATCTCACACTTTTTTATTTAAGTCGACTTTGGAAACCACAATATCCCCAACAAATGCATTCAACATGTATTTATATGTATACCTGAACCAAACACTGCAGATGATGAATTCCATGGAGGCTCTTTCCAGAGGGGTCTGGCACGTAATAAAAGATAAACACTGGACTCTGATGTGTCACGCCCAAGGCACAGTATGCTGGAAACGCACTAGAAGAGTCAAATGACAAATGCTCATTTATGCCTGAATCCCTACAAACAAAGGACATTACAATGCTTAAAACTGTGTTGATTTTGACTTTTTCTCCAACATACTGAATTTTGTTATATAACAATTGTATTCTAGAATGAATCTATTGTTAGACTTAGATGATGACACATTTATTAGACAACTATGCAATCACGGTCCACAGACAAAGCACAAATGGAAAAATACAGCTGTCAGTGACCCAGATTTGTACCAATGGCAAAGACCCACTCATTTGTAATTCCCATTTTTCTTTTCCTTTTTTTTTCTAGGGTTCCTTCTCGCCTCTAAATTAATTCTGGTCGTTCGTTATATAATCACAGCCATCTCTCTTTAGCCTTTCTAATTCTACAAATGTTAGTCTCTGACAAAACCCAAGCCTTTCCAGCTGGCCACAAGGAACATAGAACCATCTACAGGTTGCCCCACGTGGTCCCAGGAACAACCCCAGCTCAGTTGGAAGGAACAGGGAATGCTTTCTCAAAGAGAATTTGAAATTATGCTTCTGCTGACTTCAATTGTCACTTCAAGTTGTTGGGGGAGGGTAGACGGTTTTTCTAAATCAAATCAAATCCTCTCTAAGTATTTTCCATGTATGAGTGTACACTCTCCAGAGCTGATCACTTCCACCCTGGACTTTGTCCAGCTTAGCACTCCAGCCCATCAGCCAGGCCTGATTCTCTTGTTCTATTTCCACAGTTGCATAGTTATTATTTTTGTTTGTTGTAATCAACTCCACTCTTCCCTTTGTATCTTTGCTCATCTTTCCCCTGTCTCCATCTTTGGGTCTCTTTCTTACCTTATAAATTTCAGTTCACCCTCTGTGTCTACTTCTAATCAAGCCATAATACAGAATTAAACACACTGTTTACAGTAGTTGCTATACCGCTGACAAATTTCGTTCTTTGTTCTTAATTACAAAATTTAGTATCTAAAAAGCTTTTTGTTTCTCTCTTAAAACTTAAAAAATCAAATTGGACCTGTTTAATTACTTTCAGTTGATTTTTTGTAATCTCATCCAAATCCAAATGTTGATTTTCTTTAAAAACTTCAATAAATCAGGACAAAGTAAAAAAAGTACATAGCTGAAGTTTTCAGGTAATCAATATTATTTATATAAAATATAACATCCTACATACCATTTATACCCATAAACATACCCTCTTTCTTTAACCTCCTTAATTCATAAATCCCATTCTAATAAGCAAGATAAAATTAAAATTTTGTCATATCATAAAACAGGGAGTTGGTACATTTCTGGAAAATAGGGCAGATCAATAGTTAAGTCTAACTAAGCTGTTAGAACTCCTTTATTATTCATTTGTAAGAGTTTTCATGTCACATGCAGAGCAATTTTATCTGCACAATAATGGCATGAGCTGCACACCAAAAGTCAGTGAAATCTCAATTCAGAGATTCTAATTTCCGGTGACAACTTATTCATTGAGCATCTATCCAATTCTGTTGTACTCATTAGACTTGTACCACGTCATCTCCAATCTCCCAGTCAAATAGTTTTTAGATATTCCTCACTCAAAACCTCAAGATAAGCTACTTGAACAAGTCCCCTCCACGACTTCTTCCACCAGTCTAATTCTATATTTACTAAAATTAGTTATAGTTATTTTCAAAATTACTTACCCAAATTGCACTAGTTATTGCAAATGCGCAGTTTAATTAAAACTAACTCAAAGGAAGATGTTTAACATTGCTTCAAAACTAAGACAAATGCTTTAGAAGGACTTGAAAATTATATGTCTTAGTTTTCTATGTTTTAACAAAAATACCATTGACTACGTAGTTTATAAATGATAAAAATATATTTCTTTCAGTTCTAGAGGCTAGGAAGTCCAAGATAAGACACCAGCAGATTCAGTGTCTGGTGAGGGCCCACTTCCTGGTTCAAAAATAGCAGTCTTTTCACTGTGCCCTCACATAGAGCTTTCTGGAGTCTCCTTCAGAAGGATACAAATCCCATTCATGAAAGATTCAGTAAATAGCAGTACATGTCTAATAAAAATGGTTGCTAAATTCTGTTTAAGTAATATGCCCGTAAAAAGTTAATTTATTAAAATATAGAATTTTCTTTTGATTTGTCTTAAGATCTTACATCACTAAATAAACAAATAATCTTATATTATTCTTACATGATGCACTATGAGAGACAATATGAGATTCAAATCAATGAATGTATTGATCCAAAACAAAGTACTGATCCAGAAGCAATAGATTGGTTGATAAGTGTATAATTACATGACTTAGGTTAAAAGAATGTCTTTAAATAAGTACTCCTTTTTAGGATACTTTACTTCAGCTGACTTTCCTGGTTAACCAACCAATTTTTTTACTTGATTGTTTAAGATAAAAGATCTCCTTTATCTTTATAAACTTTTCTTTAAAAAATGGATGAGACCGTTTAGAGAGACATATCAGATATAATATATGCATTTACTTTTGTTTGTTCAAAAAGAAAAAGAAAATCTAACCAAAGGTCATAAGCGAAAAAGAAAATAGAAATGGGGACAACAGAAAAAAGATATGAGTGGTAGAAAGCACATGGACAAATTGTAACAAACTTTTAACAAACCTCCAAAAGCTAATCTTAAATTATCAATGAAAAAAGTCAAGAAACAATGCAATGTGCATTGTAGAACTTTCCAGAAAGAAGAAAGAAAAAAAAAGGCAAGGAAATGAAAGAATAAGAACAAAAGGACTAAAAAAAAGAAGAAGAAATGACCACTCTAGGAGGTTCAACATATGAATAATAAGAGTTTCAGAAAAAGGAAATAGAGAAAAATATATGGGAAAGTATCTTCAAAAATAGTCATTTCCCAGAATTGAAGGGCATGAGTTTCCAGAATGAAAGGGTACACTGGGAAATTAGCTAAATGGATTAAAATTCATACAGATCAAGGCTCGTTATAAAATTTCAAAACTCTAACACATACAATGTATTTCTTCATACAAGAGACCCCAGACTTCTTAATAGCAGCACTGGAAACTGGAAAACAATGAAGACAAGATTTCAAAATTCTGTGGAAAAATACCTAACCCATAGTCCTAAACTGAGTCAAAACTATTGATCAAATGAACAAAATAGAGATATGTTTCACATACCACTCATATACCCTTTCTCAGAATACTAATGATGCATATGATTTTCCAAAATAGGAAACCAATACAGAAGAAAACCAGAATTCCAAGTAACAGCAGATCCAGCATGGGGGAGAATAAAGGGATCCCTGGGAAACTGATAAGGTAAAATCTCAGAATGATACCTGAATACCAAGAGTAAAGTACTGTCAGATATCTTCACAACAAAGGCTCAAGAAATAATTTTCAAAAAGGACAAATTCATAAAAAAAAACTCTTGTGTCTGAATGGGGAATAATTGAAACTGAATTTTTAATGTATACATAGAATCCTTACACATAAGCAACTGGGGGGAAAAAAAGACAATAACCTCACAGAAAAGAAAAAATGATATGGGCCAGGAAAAATAATCTTGTAATAATACCCACATGGCTCAACTGTGGACAGCTTTACATATTCATGGTAATGTAAATACTAAATATTGATCCTAATAAAATTTCAGTGTTTTATTAGAACAACTGTGGAATTGGAATTGTGCATGTGTATTTAGGGAGGATCAAGGAAAGAGAGCTAAATGCTGTTTATCCAATGTGAGAAGTCCATAGTTAATGCCAAAAAATTAAAGATGAGTAAATAGTAAGATAAGTGCAATTTTTAGAGATACTGAGTTAAAACAAAAAGATCCAGCTAGAGAAATTGGGACTAGACATCTTGGGAAGGGGAACAGAAGTGGGATGAGGAACTGTTTGACTCTTTAAACCATGGCATATGTGTCTTTAATAAACTGAAAATTAGTGTGTTGGGGGAGATGAATTGCTAATATTCTCTCTCTTCAAAAATCAGTTCTTGCAATTGTTTTTACCTGATTTTTTTTTCTTTCTTTCTTTTTTTGGGGGAGGGGGATTAAGAGGTATTATGTAATTTCTTTATGTCCAATTAGTCACTTTATCTTTTTGCATAATTTTATAGAGTGTTTATCATATCATGGAGTATTTTACCTGCCTTTATATCTCCCACCTAAGCTGTGAATTCTAGAGGGTTTCGATTCTATTTTGTAACTCGAGCACCTGGAACACTGCCTATTTCATAATAGGAGATCAATATTCTTCTGTTGAATGAATAAATGGGGTATGAGAAACACTGAATTTACTACCTACGGAAAAAAACACCACACTTCTGTTATGAGAATTAAGTATATATTGCCAAAAAACTGTCTCTTGTGCTTTTCTAAATCAAAATTTTATGATGACTTAGTCTCAAGTGAGAACCTCCATTCTCCAGTCTTTCACTGTAACTACTGAAGTTATCACGAGTGCTTCATTTCCATTAGATAAAGGACTAAAAACATCCATTTTCAGACATCTTCACCCAGAAGCGACAATTTGTATTCATGATTATGATTATGTTTTAGGTAAAGTCAAAGCCCTTCATACAATTTACATGCCAAACACTTGAGTGTTCTCTGACCGGGTTGCTACTTTAGAAAATAACATATATTATTTCAGGTTTATTGAGAATCATTATAGCGGTGTTTAGTTAAGGACGATTCACAAACTGAATGCAACATTCCCACCACATTGCCTCCTAGATAGTAGACAGAGTTAAGGATAAGCTGTACCTTCTAACTTAAATCTAGATGACTTATGAATAATTTTTTCTACAAATTAGAATCGTAATCTATGTACAAAATATTTTTAAAAATAAAGATATTAGGCTCTAATAGGACATAATCTCATTTGAAAAATTTGACTTCCATTGTGCGCTAGCTGTTATGAAAGATGGTAAGTGATAATCTAAATGGTATATATCTCAAGTC